TATGACATTAGTATCGCCTTTGTTAGACCGAATATTACACACATGGACGCGGCGGTCAATATAGGTACCAGAGGCTGAGTCAACAAACTTGCAGAATCCATTGGGGTCATTCCGTGCTACAAATTGTGCTATCCGCCGATATTAGACGTCGTCGTACTTGTGGCCACGACTCTTGTCGCACAGTGAATTCACAATGGCTACCCATTGCTCGTCATCTCGACAGACATCCAGTAAGGCACAATACTCTGAAAGATCAAATCGGTCGCGGAAGTAACGTGTAATAGTATCCATGGTGTCGTGTAGAACCTGACCAAACATACGGAGCGACGAAATAGTTTTTTCACCGGTGACAGAGGTGATGGCGGCTTCAAATGTCTTCATGTCGGATGACACCACTTGCACTCTAGGTGGAAGGCGACGTGGCTCGGTTTCGTGCTGGCCCACATGAACCTTAGCAGCGTGAACTAATCCAGTATCAAAAACCGGGTCTGCTTGTTCCAAAAGCTCAAATAGTAGAGGTGGGTTTGTAGACGGATTCCGGATCTCGGGCACGATGGGTGGTGGTTTGCTGATGTAGCCGGGAATATGAATCCTACTCCTGTAACAGCCGGCGGAATCCAGTTTAAAAACGATCGGCATTGACCTCGGGTCGTTCGCGGTCGGCATCATCCTCTGGATCATCTCGTCTCTAGTTTGGCTCGACGGCACCACCAATTTCAGAGTTTGGATACTACTAACAAAAGCTATCTTCTCGCGTTCCTTGGGTATCACATCGACACCCAGAAACCAGATAGAGTTGCGGTAGTGCTTGGGTGCGGAAAGGAACCTGGTGATAACAGAGTGGTAAACGGGGCTATCCGATACAGCCCCTAATAGCCATAAAGCCAAATGGAAGGTCGAAGGGAATTGAATCCGGTCCCCGACTATCGGCTGGGCGCCTTCTTCGACACTAGTGGAGAACGAGACAAGCGCAGGGTGGTGATACTGGTCGATAATCAGGGAAAGCTGCCCCACATCGGATAAGTACCGGCACACAAGATATTCAGCGGCAGAGCTCTTATCCAGCTTCATTTGTAGGTCCGAATGATACTTAGCCCAGGTTCCGTCCTCATTCTCACAGTATGGGCGCATAGAAAACGTCTTTGTGTAGAGTCCGTCGGTATCCAGGTTTAACAAAATCGTACTTTTAGCCCCAGGAGTTGACCGTTATACCTTTACAGCCTTGGTTTTCACAATCCATCCGAGTACGCGGTGCAACGGTAGAGCATCCCACTACAACACAGAGGCATCTTTTATCCACGAAGGGGGAGAAACATCCCAGCGCACCTGGTGATGTGGAACCTGGGGTGTCTTTTGTAGCCTCACAGTATCGACACCGGTCTCGTACGTCGCCTGCAGGCGGCAAAGGTCCAGGTCATTTCTTGGTGGACGATGCCTTCGAGTCTTTGAGTAGCGCTGTCCCAGTAAAATGGGGAGATCGGCTATTATCTTTCCCTTTCTTATTGAGTTATGTTTAATTATGATTCTTAATATTGAAATGGTGTATGTATTTATACTATTTTTTGTTCTTGATATATTCGATTTTTATCTTAAGTCGACCATGTACAAAAATATTGACACTTCGTAAGTCTAAGTTACATCACGTTGCCTACTCAATTTGGACTTTAACTGGACGGAGCCTATACTAAGGACTGATGGAATAAAACTCAGCATAAATTTTATGCTCTCAAAGTGGAAGTTCGCGAATACCTTTTGGTCACGTGAAATCAGATTGCTATGACAAGATGACGAAGTTTCTAAGAGCGTTGCAAGTACTGACGTAAGACCAATTTCGCGAAAGAGTAACTCTTTCTGGATTGCAGTTACTCCAAATGACGCAAACTTGGAAGAACCCCAATCTGATTTCAGAACCTTGAAATACGATTCGACACTCCAACGTAATTTATAAATGTCTTTTATTACATCTCGGGTTAATGAGACATTTGAATGTAGTGTAAACATTGAGCTACCAATATTAAACTTAGACAACGTGTGTCCGCGTCTCATATAGGGATTTTGGCTATTGTTTTTTAAACGACACACATACATATAACCACTCTGGTCGAGGTACTCCATTCCCCCGGTCGAAAACCATGATATCGTGCACTTTATTTATCTGATCGAGTCGCTGAAGAACCGCATCTCTTTCGTTGTGGTGTTCAAAGATATGACTATCCACTGGCTGATTATTGGTTGCGTCGTACATCGTAGAGATCATCGCATGTCTAACAGATTTACTATTACCGTATTTAGCAAATGATGTATTACTAGGGCCAATAGCTACCTTAGATCCATCAACTGCAACTATTCTACACTCTGTTTTCGCTGGTGGGCTAATACTCTACGTTGTCGTGCTCTGCATAATAACGATGCTGCAACAGTTGTATTTAATAATTTGGTTGTGCACGCAAGACCACCAAAAGACCGCGACGCGGTCATCAAGGACGCAATAACGGTTGTAAATGTGTCCACTTTCCGGTTACGAACAATCCACTTGTGTACACTTGTTGTCCATGGTTTTGCAAATAACCTTTAGCTTTTCAATAATTGATTTGTACATTTTTATATTTGAGCTTTACGATTCGTTAACGCAATGACACTGGACGAGAGGGGTCCAATGGCAACAATTTCATCTCCAGCAGCAATTGCAGACTTATAGCCTACTCCGAGGTTGTGCCCTCAAAAACAAGGTCGTGGACGACGTAGTTATCACCGGAACCACAGATTTGTGCAAAAGATGCAACATACCAGTTGCAGTTGCGTCGGTTGCCCAGAGGGATTAATTGCGTTACGGATTAGCTTTTATTATCACATTCCGGCCAAAATTCTTATATCGCTTTGACCGGCGCTGCGAATCGTCCACTTCGTTCAAGTCACCGGGTACCGTGTCGCTCACCGGGCGTTTTCTAGGTGCTCTGACGTCGTCGTGTGATCTCGCAGGAGATTGCTCGTTTGGTTGTTGTATGGAATCGCCCAAGTCACCAGGAACTGTGTCGCTCACCGGGCGTTTTCTAGGTGCTCTGACGTCGTCGTGTGGTCTCGCGACTTGCTTGGGCTTGGGGTTAGAGTCTCCCGAGTGACCGAGTAGTCTCGCACTTGACGGCGAATTATCAGATAGCCCCAGCGACCCGAGAACTCTAGTCATATCGGTAATGTCAACACGTCCGATTTGCTCCAGCAATTCGCTCAAATTCTTGTATATGGCCTCCTTGTACCGACCACCGAGCAAGTTTGGATTATCGACACTGTTGAGAAAGTCTAGTAGCGGCACCGCAAAAGCTGCCAGCGCAATGTATTGTTGGACACCTTCGTTTCCCGCGAGCAGTCTCGTGTACGTATCATAAAACGATGTCGCAATGTTCAAGTACTCCAGTACAGTCCGCGCAGTTTCATTCTCTGTAAAGACGTGCACGCGGCTCGTGACAATTTTTTGTTGGCGACGATAGTCTTTAGACATTATATAACACACGGCCGAGTTTTTTTGTCTACCACGACATGCGCGTGTGCCAAGCAACGACATTTCGACCAGATCACCAAGTGATCACAGGGTAGCGAGTTCGGATTTTTGTATAAATGTCAGTCGATTTATTTCACGAACTTACAATCTGACTTTGACCGGCGCTGCGAATCGTCCACTTCGTTCAAGTCGACGCATTATCGACACTGTTTTTTTGTCTATTCGGACACTTTAAAAAAACAACCTTTAAAACAATCAAAAACACTTTGTTCAAGCTCCACAATCTCGGCTGTCTGTCGCTTGATAATCTCGAGTAGTATACATAAAAGTAAAAATCGTACTATTCAGAGTACATTTAGGAAACTTAAGTTCCTCGTACAGGTTGATGTTAAGTGTGTGGTTGAAACCTGGCATAACACCACATTTCTTAATCATATACGCTCGAACACACGCTATCATATACTACATCATACTACACGGCATAATATCTTACACCCTTTACATTGTGGTATTGGTACCCTTTCCAAACACCACCCATCGATTTCAACTTGTGCACTCTTCACCGTACGCGGTGTTCTTTGTGTGCTTTGGCGTTCATATGGCCGTGTTCTACTTTCCACTCAAATCGCTTACTGAAGAATAGGTCAGGCGATACACGAATCCCCCCGAGATTGGCGGTTTCCAACCAGATGTCGTGTGGGGAGATTTCAACTTCAAAGCCCGGAAGTATGGCCACGCATCTACAAATCACGGACTACATATGAAAACGATTGAGACTACTCTGCGTAATACGTGGCACTGGACTACCTCTATGCTGGCGGCTCAACTGGTACTGAACATGCGTATCATCGACCTACCACCCCGGCCTCCCTCCAAACTTATAAGCTGACGGACTACGGTATCTGTGGTGACCACACCTTTGGACTCGATCTCCAGATACTTCCCACGAATCAAATCCATCGGCACCAACAAATGCCAGCAATGCCGCCGCCTCCAGACCAACGCCTCCCCTCCCATGGATATAACCGATATCGCCATCGACTGTATCACCTACGCAACAATTTCCGCGCGCGACTATTCCAAGCCGAAATCCGGGCGCATCAGAACCTACTACGGTCGTATCTCACTTTACATGGACCAGCGGAAGGGCTGCTACGAATCCTCGACCGCATCTGGCGCTATGCCACTATCCCACAAATCTTTGGAGGGTTCTATTATGACTTAAACATGCCTTGGGTTCAGCGGCTGCCAAACCACTCGTTCCGCCCACGTCTGACCGCCCAAAGCAATGCTAAAATGTTCAAAGATATTGCGTACCAACGACGGTCTCCGCGCCAACCCTGTATACAGGGTACCGATGACACAGACGCTACCCTCGCTGGCTACTTTGAGGCCCTATTCAACTCTACAAACCCGTACGTGGTTCCACCGGATACAGAACCCTCTCCTGATGTCACTTCCACCATACGCCCCGACGATGTAATGGAGACAATACTACGCTATCCCAATAAGGGGCCTGGCCCCGACGGGATCCACATCCTCCTCCTGAAGGCCGCAGTGGAGCGCTCTACCGAACGCCGGACATTAGGACGCCCCGACGCCAATAGCCCACTGATTAGACTCCTTACCGAAGCATTCACTGAGCTACTGAAGGCGGGTACCTTCCCCGCAGCCCCCTGAACTGCAGCCCCCTGAACTGCAGCCTCCTGACAGCGCACCCAAAGAAAGCCGATGCAGATATCACCTCCCCCGGCGACTTCCGCCCAATCACGCTTACGCAAATAGTCAGACGCATCTTTGAAAAGTGCTTTCTTAATCTGATTACGAGCCACCCCGGCTCTGCTACCCATGCTACCCAAGCTGGCTTCAAATCACGGTACTCCTATCATATCCAAGCACTTGCCGCCATGGAATCTGAGACACAGTCAGAAGAGGAGTGGAACGACGTCTGTCTGGAAAAAACCAAGGCATACGACAAGGTCGCTCTCCCACGCCTAT